TTACCTGGAAGACAAATGATACAAAAAGTTAAAGGTAGAACCTTTCATTTACCACTTCCAATACAAGAGACATTAAACAAATTATGTTCTGAAACTGATGCGATAAATATTAATCATGAATTATATATCTCAGTTAGAGGTATTCCCACAAAATCTAAAGTTATCTGGGAAGAGATGGTAAATGTTACAAAAGTAATTGATGCATTGATGTGGTTGAAGAACAACAATCCTTTATATTCTGGAATAATAATACCGAATTCACACGATGATTTAGTTTTGCAATTGAATAATATGGAATTCCAAATGCAAGAGGATGAAAATGTTGAACAAGATATATTTGATGAGGAACATGAATTATTAAGTAATTCAAAATCCAAAATGCAGGAAATGGAAAACGTTGAAGATAAGGCATTGAATCGACATGAGGCATTACTAACTCAGATTATTAATGATAATGATAACTATGAGCAATATTCTATATATCCATTATATGAAAAAGGGAAAATAAAACTGCAACGGCTTTATATCAAATGTTAAAAATTCAGGATATACTTATGGATAATCGTGAAAAATGTTTGGATTTGTTATGTTTTCCTGATTTATATCCTTACGGTATTAATGGAGAGCATGCAGATAGGGAGGTCAAGCTTCATGACCATGAATTCATTAAATGTCGCTTAATGTCCAAACATCCGCAGTATAGATTAAATCAACAATATCTATTTTATTTGTTAAACGGTACCAATATACGTCAGTTAAAACGTGGAATTTATCATAAAATGTATACTACTAATCAACGAGCTCGTTATACGGCTAAGGAATATTTAGAGGCAATGTCCAAAGATTTATTAGAATCTGATTTGAGCACAATATTTGCGTCGCTAAGGAATACGGAACAATTTTGGCGTAGACCGAGAAGTGATTTAAATTGTATGACACACCATTATGGACCCGCAACATGGTTTCTAACATTAAGTCCTGGTGAATGGTTGTGGGAAGAATTAGGTGAATACATTCGTGAAGTAAATGGATGGTGTGATACATCGTTAAGCACCAGTGCACTTATCGCTAAAGATCCTGTGTCAACATCGAGATTTCTCGATAACATGTTTTGGGCAATGCTTGATTTTATTTGTTCGGAAGATAATCCAATTGGAGAGGTAATGCATTATTTCTGGCGACGAGAATATCAAGGTAGAGGAATACAACATTTTCATTTATTAATTTGGATTAAAGATGCCCCAATTATTGGTGAATCTAGTATGGAAAAAGTTTCCAAATTTATTTTACAACATGTTAGCTGTAAAATTCCAAATAAAAATATCTCACCACTATTGCACAGGCGTGTTAATACACATCAACGACACAAACATAACGACTATTGTCTTCGTTCTAAAAAAGTAGGACGTAAAGTTGTTCGAGTATGTTGTTTTGGATTTCCTCGTTCTGTTACTGAGTCTTTAAAAATAATTGAGGTCAAAACTGCAATAGCAGGTAGAAAACAATTGAAACATAAAAGTAGGCTTTACAATATTTCTCGAACAGAAGAAGAAATCAATATAAATGATTATAATCCTGTCCTTTTAACTGCTTGGGAAGGAAATATGGATATACAATTTATTGGCGAAAAATCGACATTGCTTACCTGGTACATTACCAAATATATGAATAAAGCGGCAAAATGTGAGTTGTCTGATATTATTCTTGATGCTAAAAATAATACAAATAAATCATTGGCCAGCCGTCTTTGGAATATTGCTTTCGATTTACGAGTAACTGAGAATGTGGAGCTCTTGAAGCTGCTGATACATTACTGGGTATCGCTTTATATGGAACCGATTCAGATACAACTATTAGATGGTTAGATGTTAATCGAATTAGATCACGAAAATTAAAAACTCGTAAAGAGATTGAGGCACTTGCTAGTCAATCGACAGATTTATTTCATGAATCGTTGATAGATGATCACTATCCACAGAGACCAGAAGAACTGGAATTTATGTCTCTTTACGAGTTCGCAAAATGGTATGATATCAGAAAAGCCAAACCACGAAATAACAAAGGTGAATTTTATAAAATGGGCAATGGTTACTATCTTATACGACGACAGCGAGGATATCTTATCAATCATTATAAATATAATATTAAGATACAACCGGAAAATTATTTCTTTTCATTATTACTTATGTTTCAACCGTGGAACAAATTAGAAGATCTTAAAAATGAATGTGATACTTATGCAGAATCATTTCACAAAGTAAAACTACATTTAACGGAAGCATTAAAATATCACGAAAAGCTAGAAGAATTGCAAGAAGCATTTGAAGCTGCTAAACAGTTGGTTCAAGAATGTTTAGATAAAGCACAAAAACGTGAATCACTGGATGATCCTGATAATCCGATAGGTGTTGAAAATATAGAAGCGGGTGAAGCGATGCAAGACTTTAAAGATCTCGGTGATAAGAATAATATTCAAGAAATTGATGTCTCTGAAATGATAGGACAATTAAACATGGATCAGAAAAGAGTATTTGACAGAATCATTACCACTATACAGTCAGATAATTCAATATTGCGACTGTATGTTAGCGGAGAAGGTGGTACTGGAAAAAGCTTTTTAATCAAAACTGTTACATGTTGGATCAAACAAAATCTCGAAAAAGATACTGCTGTATCAGCACCTACTGGTATAGCAGCGTTTAATATAGACGGCTTGACAGTTCATAGATTGCTTCAATTACCTGTTGAACATGGTCATACTCCTAAATATAGAAAATTGTCTGACCATGTGTTACCAATTCTGCGAACGGAGCTAAAGGATGTTATTCTTTTTATAATTGATGAAGTATCAATGATATCTAATTTGACTTTTATGTACATACATCTTCGATTGTGTGAAATATTTGACACAAGCGATTGCGACGATGGTTGGTTTGGAAAAAAGCATATTCTTTTGCTTGGAGATTTACTTCAATTACCTCCTGTACGTGAAGATTTTATCTTTGCAAACTTCTCAAAGGAAAAATAGATAAATATTTCGGTTGCTTAGGAGTTGCAAATTTGTGGACAACATTATTTAATTATGATGAATTAACAATTAATATGCGTCAGAAAGGAGATGGATCTTACCGTGAGTTGTTATCGAGAGTTCGTATTGGTTTACTAACAAAATCCGATTCTGACATTCTACAAAAGAGAAAGATATCTTTTGAGGGAAATTCCTTCGAGTCTAGATTAAACGAATTGTGTAATTTTATTAATAATATGACATCAGATACTGTTTGTTTGCTGCCTACTTGTCACATGTGTGATGTTTTAAACGCTGCAATGTTAAGTCGTATTCCTTCGAAAGAAATAGTATTAGTTGCTGAAGATACGGTCAAGTGTAGTCCATATGTAAAAAAGAAAGTGTTAAAGGTATTGGAAAATAATGATGAGGACAACTCTAAAACAGCTGGGCTTTCGAAACGTATTACTATAAAAATTGGAGCAAAAGTTATGATAAGACGTAACATAGATGCTACTTTAGGTCTTGTAAATGGCACGATTGCTCAAGTGATTTCGATTGTACAAGATATATCTACCGATCGCGTAGAAAGCATTAAACTTCTTTTACCATCAGGTTCGGAATATTTAATTCAAAGAGTAAGTGTTAAATTTGAGGTAATGGATAGAGTGTATGTTATTAGAGATCAATTTCCATTGTCTCTGAGTTATGGAATTACTATTCATAAAAGCCAAGGATTGAGTTTGCAGAATGCTATTATGGATATAGGTAATTCTGTATTTAGTCATGGTCAAATTTACGTTGCTTTGTCACTACTAACATCTTTAGATGGGTTACATTTGATTAATTTTAATCCTTTATCTATAACAGCTAATGAAGAAGCTATTATTGAATATAATCGATTAAAACGATTAAACAATGCAGAAACAAAAACTATTTCTCTTGTAAAAGAGCGATATTGTAGAATAAAAGATGTTTTATGGGCAGTGCCAAAAGTAGTTAATTCTATTCAAGAGTCACATGAGAAGGTTCGAAAAAATATTACTTGGAACATGTATGGTTTCCAAAATGTAGATGAAGTTTCATGTTATGCAAATGCAGTATTACAATGTTTGTTACATTTAAATTCTATTAGAAAACAAATAGCCGATTATGATAAACTAAACGATTTAAATGTATTAATGTGTCATTATGAAAATAAAGTGCACAACTTGAATACATACGTTATACGGCAATCTTTAGGAGAGTATTTTTCCAAAAGTGTTAAACGAGATGCATGTGAATTCTTTACAGCTCTATGTACAAAATACGATAGTATAAAAAGTTTAATAGAGCATCAAGTTACTACCATTAAACAATGCAAAAGTTGTAATTATACAAAAACTATTGTTAATAATAATATTTTTATTTCAATTCCAATAAATAAATGCAAGAAACAAAGTTATGATCTTAATGAGTTATTAAACTTAACATTTTCCCATTGGTGTCAATTGAACAACGAATCATGCAAAAATTGTACCAAAAATGAAATATTAGTTAAAAGTGAATTTACATTAAGCAGAGATATCATTGTTATTCATTTAATACCAATTCAAGACGGTAAATCAGTAAAATCAGTAAAAACAGATAAGTTTACTTTGCGTGCTGTCCCAACAACTAAAGTAATAATTGTTGGGCAATTGTACAAAGTAATGAGTGCTATACTTCATCATGGACCATCTATCGAAAAAGGTCATTACACAAGTATATGTAGAGAAGAAATGTCTAACATTTGGATTGAAGCTGACGATGCGCTAATTAAAAAAAGACAATGGCCTAGAGGTGCTAAAGATGTTTTTGTTATTTTCTTACAGAAAATTGATCAGTAAAAGTAATCTGCTTTTATATATATATATATATATATATGTAAAAGAAAATTCGGAGTAGAATTTCCTTTTAAGTGCAGCTCTGCTACACATTCAAACTGTTACGCCGTCATACGGTGAGACCGCGGCACGCGCGGTTCACGTGAGCGACTTGAGTGCTGATGTGCGTGTGCTCTCGAAAACGGAGTAAGCGTGGACCACGTTGTCGTGTTAAACTCATATGTAATAATTATTACTTGTTTGTGTTTAATTGTTAATTCTTGTTTAATAGTCAATTCTAATTTAATAGAAACCAGTGGATGAGACACGTAGAATCATTCAGGCTTGTGTAGGAAAGAGCATTGCTTTCGATTCTTGTTTTATAGGTTAGGAGTTATGAAAATCTGTATGATTGTTTATCGTATCCAGTACTGTTACTAATAAAATCTTGTTTTATAGGCATCAAACGGCTATATTTCTTTTCACGATTCTGGAATCGACGAGAGTTGATAAACACTCTTACATATATATATATATATAAAATGCAATAATTTAGAAATGCAAATAGTTTTTTATACCCTTTTTATGATCACTAATAATTTTCTTTATAAAACATGTTGTGAAGTATAAAAAAAATTATTAGATTTGTATAAATTAAGTTAAAAAGAGGACCGTCGTATTGAAAAAATATGACGGGGGTGGTGGTAGGACCTCATTGATAAAGTTTATTATTACCATTATTTTTACTAAAAAAAGAAATGATATCTCACAAAAATAAACCTTTTTTTTAAAAAAAGGTAAAAAAAGGGCGCCAAGTACACGCCTTGTTGTATTAAAAAAAGTTTTTATCATAAAAAACCTTTCAAAAAAATTGTCTTCTCAAAAAAAGTTTTTCTCATAAAAAACCTTTCAAAAAATCTTTTTCTCATAAAAAAAGCCTTTCAAAAAAAATTTTTCTCATTAAAAAAAAACCTTTCAAAAAAATTGTCTTCAGAAAAAGTTTTTTTCATAAAAAAATCTTTCAAAAACAGTTTTTCTCATTAAAAAAATCTTCTAAAAAAATTGTCTTTTTAAAAAAAAGTTTTTTTTTATAAAAAAAAATCTTT